CTTCCGCCTGGCATCCGCAGGAATCCATCCATGAATGGACGTAGCCTCTTGATTTATACTTCTGTGCTGCATTGGTCTGCCCTGTGTCCCTGGCCCATGGTGCACACAGTTCCCCCCGTGGTACTTGCTGGACCGGACTGGTACTTTCTAGACTCTCCCTTGACTGTATGACGACGACCCTGCTTTAGTCACACCACATGCCCACTTGCCTGCACCACTTGACCACTTGCCTGCACCACTTGACCACTTGCCGGCACCACTTGACCACTTGCCAACCTTCTAGAAGGACTGCAGCTAGCCTTCTAGTCTATAGGTCTACGGATCGAATCCTGGCTACCTATAGACCTACGACAGACCTACCTACCACTGGCGGTTCTACAGGTCGCMGGTTCAACTCTTCGAGTTGACGCAGGTATTGTACACAGGTAAGTTGGGGAACTAGGGATCAAGCCCTGGGATCTACCTCAGCTACCACGAATTGGTGAATACCATTTCAATGATACTGATTCAACCCTAATTTGTGTAACATCAGAAATTCGACACTTAATCAAGTATCGGATTAGTATTACTCAATCAGAACTCAAATAGCAGCATACCGGAAGAAAACAGAAATCCGAATTATAAGTCCGAATACCGATTTGAACGGAAATGCCGAACTAAATAGAATACTGAAAGAGAAAAAAAAATTGCAACTTTGAACTCGATAGTAATTCAGCGCTGATTGGGAAAATTGAAGAGCAATCTATTTCCTAACCAGACTTACCTTTGTGAGCAGATCCGTTTTATGGTCTGCTCCGATACCAAAACTGTTACATACTCCAATGAGTATGGGCAGAACCAAGAATCAACCAATGTAGGATGAGTATAGATGCAACGGAAGTCTGATAAACGGACTGACTCACATAGACTGACTCACATAGACTGACTCACATAGCATCACTCCACACACATACAATTGTGAGATGGTGGGGTCTGAGCCTTACAAAGAATGTGCTCAGCCCCGTACACAACATACACGGATGAATGGGGGAGGAGAGACGAAGGAGGTGGGGTAGGTAGACAGCACTGAAAGTCACCGAGATAGAATCTGATAGGTCACCGATATGGTAGTCCAAAATGTCATCCAACGAGATCAAAATGTCGAGGACAATAGGTCACCAATGTCGGAGGTACAGAGTCCAAATGTAACCGGTGTCTGAACTGTGATGTCGCCGAGTATCAACCCCAACAATCTCCAAGTCTCCAATCAGGTAAGTACCACAGTCTCATATCACCGAAGTCCAACTCTGATCTCTGTCCAACTAGTATAAGTATCCAATCTGATGAAGAAGAAGAAGAAGAAGAAGAAGAAGAAGAAGAAGAAGAAGAAGAAGAAGAAGAAGAAGAAGAAGAAGAAGAAGAAGGAGGAGGGAGCCGAGGAGGAGAGGGAGAGAGAGGGGACTGGCGATGGGAGGGAGGAGAGAAACCTCCAACTCCCGGTACCTCAGGCGGCTATGGCCGCCGGTAACCCAGTCGCCGCTGCTGCTGCTCCGCTCGCTGCTGCTGCGCTCGATGCTGCTGCGCTGTCTGCTCCTCGCTGTTTAGCGCTCCAACGGCACACTGGTGCCGACCTTACCGCACCGTGGTATACTGGTGGGTCGATCCGTGGAATGAGGCCGGACCGGTTCTTTATACCGGTGGGCAGAGGCCGGCCTCACTGCTGCGAGGCCTGGCCGTGCCCTGAACCGTCCAGATGGACGGTTCAGCCCCAACCGGCGGGCGGCAGCCTCAAGAGCGCCGCCAGGCCCAAACGGTAATGTCGTTTGGGCCTGCCCGTCGGGTCTGGTCCAAGGTGAGGCCTTTATGGCCTGTAGAATCCAAAGGTCGGGCCTTTAGGCCCTGATGTGTCCCTCCGGCCCTAAGTCGGGTCCGGTAGGACCCGTGTGCGTCGAAGATGTCACACCTAGCCTACCGCTACTGGGCCTCTAAAAATCCCAACTTTGTCTTATTCTGCTCGGCCTCGAGTACCCGGCACATCTACTGCTACTAAGTGCAGTACCGGCCTACCTGCTACTTGAGTGTTTCTCCGCTGCTCTAAGCACCGCGGGCCCCTGGCTCCGCTACTTGAGTGTTTTCCCTGCTGCAACCCTCAATGCCACGGCCACAGGTAAGTACCAGCCCTACAGGCCTGCCAAACAAGCAAGTACCCTTGCGGGTCACACACACACTCATACCGACAAGCACTCGGACAGGCACGCAGGTCAACAAGCACGCACACATACAGACTTAGAAAACTCAGCAGAATGCGGGAATCTCAGCAAGGCATCCATTCCATCGGCAGAACGTCAGAAATCAGCAGTGTTCTCAGTCTGTGTTATGGCAGGTCATTACAAAAGGGAAAAAAAAAGGTCACACCTTGTGGGGAAGGGGGTGTGGAAAAGTGAAAAATCGGAAACGTAAAACTACACACACCAGGATGATGGCGAGAATACTCAGCTCAGGTGGCTGAACAGGGTACACACTTGTAACCGTTGGAGAACAGCACATGAGTTCAAACACCTGGTGGGGAAATCATACACTGAGTAAAACTGCTGGGCCCCCGACCCCACCCCACACCAGAACAGTCTCTAAAGCCTCCCGCAAAATCATAAGCTTCGCCAGTCGGGGTTAATTGTTACATAAGCAGACCGTTTTTTTTCGTTTTTTTTCTTAAGACACAGAGAAATGGCACTGCTAAATCAGGTCCATCAAATGACGTCAAGGCGGGACTCTGGAAGATTGGAACATAACTGATCATGGAAAGAGTATTCTTTTGGGGACACAGAAATTACACAGCTCAAAGCTCAATCAGTCTTTTTTCACGCGGACACTCATGCACACGCACACGCGCATACACATACACGCACACACACAATGGAGTGGGGTTGATGGCTGTGACAGTCTGACAGACTAGTTTCTCAGATTTGCTGCCATTCTTGTCAGGGGTTTGGACCGACAGTCTGGTCAGCTAGGATTGCAGGGTTGGTGTCAGTAAAATGCATCCTGGACAGACTGTCTGTCCACGTTCAACCTCCTGATGAGTACTTTTCTCTCTCGAGGATGGGTATGGCTAACTCTGGGCGATGTAGTGCATACTCATCCATCAGTCAAATGCATCCTGGACAGACTGTCTGTCCAGGTTCAACCTCCCGATGCATCGGTGAAAGTCCAACGAAACAGTCTGGCACAGTCGTGCTCTGCTTTGTGGAGTGTGTATAGCGAACATCACACACACACACACACACACACACACACACAGATACAAGCATGTGCATGCATGCATGCACAGAGAGAGAGAAAGAGAGTAAGGGAGAATGCAGTAAGAAAAGGGAGAGCAGGACAGGAATGAGATGTGCATGAAAGCTTGCTTACCTTTGGATGATCACGGCGGACAATAGCGTGGTATGCAACATGGCAGGACTTGAAGAGGAAGAATCCAGAGTTGAGGACACCATTTGATCTTGTGAGGCTTGAGAAGCCGAACAGGATAGCCGCCATCCATGTGGCGCCTTTCACGAGGCAGAGCAAACCTCCAAAGACAAATGCGGCGAACAAGCTCTCCGTATAGCTTGAAACAACAGAATCAAGGATCGTGAAGGGCAATTCCAATTCAGATCATCAAGGCCAGCCACAAGAACAAGTTGAGGACAACCATAGCCGCCCTACTCATCTCAGGTTGTGGCCAGTCATCCTAGTCAGTTCCGTCATTTTTAATTGTCCTTATCGTGGTCCACAATGGTCGACCTGGTTTGCAGCCATCCTAGTCTTGGGACTCTTGGTCTACCTCTACTCCAAATGGTCCTTCTAATGATCCTACCAATGGTCCGCCTGTAGTCATCCTAGTGTAAGTCCTCCTCGCTTTTAAGTCCTAGTGACCCTCCTAATGGTCCTCCACGTCTTCACCCGAATAGAACGCCCAGTCATCATCATATCATAGCTATACTTGGGGCAACTTCCATTCCAGATGCAGGGATAATGACCATGCGCTCTATTCCGGTGAAGACGGTAGTTTGTCACCCTAGTCTTAATGGTCCTCGGAATGGTCCCCTCTTAAACCGCTAGTACATGGCCCCAGCCTTGCAGAAAGTTTCGCCACAAGCACAACTCGGAGGCGCCGCGCGGCCAGGCCCGCCGTTGAACAAAAAAAATCGGCGGCCTCCGAAGTGGTTCGGGTTTCGTGCTGACACCCGCGGGCGGGCCGATATGTGGTGTACTGGTGCTTTAAACCAGCACTACATACCATACATCGGCCGCGGGTCCCTTTCGGAGGGCCGAGACGCAACAAAGGGCCGCTGATGGAACGTATGGATGGCGGCTCGGGCCCGACTTTTTCCAATGGGCGACGAGTTTCTTTTTCAGCAAGGCTGGGGCCGTGTACTGGTGGTTTAATGGTCCTCTGAATGGTCCTAATGGCCCTTCTAATGACCTTCCCAATGGCTCTCAGGTAGTCACCCTACCAACTTCACCCGAATAGAACGCCTGGTCATGATAGCCGTATTCGGTGCAATTTTCAGTCCAGATGCGGCGATAATGACCGGGCGTTCTATTCGGGTGAAGACGGTAGTCTTAATTGTAGCTGAAGTCCTAATGGACCTCCTAAAGGTCCTTCTAATCGTCATCAGAAGGAAGCTGCGGTGCTTAGACACAGTAGGAGGTCGGTGCCAACCCATAACTCTTAGGGGATACTTGAAAACGGACTTAGATAAGAGTTTAGGTAGAATGAGGTACATGAGTGAAGAATATAGCTTGTTTTGTTTGTGTGTGTGACAAAGAAGAAACATTTGGAGGCCCTCCACTTGGAACATCAGGAGGACCATTTGGAGTTCCTTCTCAGATAGTCATACTACTCTTGGTCCTAGCCAAAGTCCTAACGGTCCTCCTCGTGGTCCTAACAAGGTCGGGTCGTATCAGTCTTGGTTCAAGTTGAGGTCCTAATGATCCCCCTAAATGCAACTGGTTTTCCTAATGGCCCTCCCACCACTCCTCCTAATGGCGGTCCTCCTACTCCTGTTTACTTCATCTTATGAGTCAAACTGGTTGTGTGGTTGCCCTATCTTCTTCACCCGACTACGACATGAAAAATAACTCAAATACAGCTATAATGACCGCGCGTTGTATTCGTATGAAGACGGTAGGCATAGTCCTTCGCCTAGGTGATACTGCTCATGGAACCTCTAGGTCGTCTTCATTATAACTGCAATAGTCCTAGCCTAGGCGGTACTCAAAAAAGTCTATTCCTTTCCCAAAAGTCTTTTCCCCCCAAGGTTTCTGTGTGGGGACCACTATTGCAGTAGTACCTAAGCAGTTGACATCATCTTTAGACCGCATTTTTTTTTTTACTTTTTTTTTTTTTTTTTACCGCCTACCCCACAGAGGGCTGCTGTATATATTGGTGGGGAGCTACACTTGCTGCAAACCGGAGTGAATATTTGCTTCAGAGTGGATCGCGAATTTCGCTGAAGATTGTAAATGTGCCATTTTCATTGCCAACAGACTTTGACTGTTAGTCTGGAGGTTCCCTTTTTTTTTTACAGGCAAGCAGGTGGCTGTGATAAAGTCTGTGGTCTTATAAGCCTCGGCACGATTCGAACTGGCGATCTCAGCCTCAAGAGCCAAGTTTCTTAACCGCTACAGCCATGGCACAGTGTATGAAAGACATTGAAAGTGGATCCATGCCAGTCGTGATATCCAGCCCACCCCTGCATGGCTGTAATGTCCTTCAACTCTCTCTCTCTCTCTCTCTCTCTCTCTCTCTCTCTCTCTCTCTCTCTCNTCTCTCTCTCTCTCTCTCTCTCTCTCTCTCTCTCTCTCTCTCACACACACACACACACACACACACACACACACACACACACACACACACACAACACTCAGGCATTCGCCACACAGGCAGTTTTCTCTCACTCTGCTGAGTCTGCTCCCATCCAGCACAACTGTTTTTCCCAACAGGGCTCTACCCACGGGCCACCACAATCCTGGTCTGACTTCCAGGCTGGTTACTGGGCTAGAGTACAGTCTGTACTTCCATCAGCCTCGGCCCTCCTCTATGCACGCACGGACAAGGAAGTTTTGTAGGAGGATAGAGAATTTGGGTGGTCTGATGAAAGTCACCAAACTCACCACCAAATATGAAGGGCGCGACTCCCGGATGTTCGAGAATACATATACGACGTATTATACGTATACTTTATTTCCTTTTCTTTTGTACGATGCCTTTCCAATGTTTCCATCCACTTTTGCATGTAGGATAACAACACAGAAAAATAAAAATAAAAATAAAAATAAAAATAAAAATAAAAGAGATAAAAAAAAACAGGTAACAGCACCATATTATATGCTATTGAAGCATATGAGTGCTTGGACGAAGCCAGGCAATTGAGAGGTTGGTGCAAACACTTACGATGTGCCTCCATGAACATAGGGAAGCAGACCTATGGCGTTAGTTCCGCCTACACTGAGGGCTTACCCACACTAGCACTATCTTGAATGTATCTGACCGCATTTACGGCCGCACCTGGATGCATCTGAGTGCAATTCCGTCCCGAAATAAATAAAAAAGAGTCCTAGTGTGAGTATGCCCTCGCAGAGGAAAGCAGACATCGGGCAACATTGACAAAGGGATGCGGATGTTAGGCAGAAGGTAAAGATGCATTTATGTTGGCGCAGGGGGTCAAGCATCTGCTTGAAGAAGAGAAGGATACAGTGAGAAGTAGAAAATGGTGGCTGGGTTGTAGCAGAACAGAGAAACCGCTTGAAACGCCCGGGGCTCATCAGGCATCACCTCCAGGGTCAACCTGCGCGAGTCCAGGTTCAGGTTCAGGTCCAGGTTCAGGTACAGGTCCAAGTTCAGGTCCAGGTTCAGCAACCACAACAAAATCAGTCCAGGTACCGGGAACGAGTAGGCCCACGCACAGATCCAGGCTGAGTAACCACAGACATCACCTCCAGGGTAAACCTGCACAAGTCCAGGATTAGGTTCAGGTCCACAACCAAGTTCAGGTCCAGGTTCAGACTTAGGAACCGCAAGAATAATGTGACACAAACCAAGATGAAGAATAGCAAATAGTGAAAACAGTGACCATAGACTGTTTCTCGCACATGCTTCAACAGATAAACATTACATCTCGGCACGCACTGTTCTCGGGGGAAACGCGCATATTCCCCGTCGCATTTCGGCCAGGCTGCGCTCCTGGCACTCCTCAGGGGGCTTTTCCCAAGAAGAAGAAGAAGAAGAAGAAGAGAAACGATGGGAGGTACAGGATCTGAGGAGGAGGAGGAGGAGGAGGACAACGAAGAAGAAGAACATGGGAGGACGAAGGAGAACGAGGAGGAGGTGGGAGTAAGCAGGAGGAGGAGGGGGAGGTGCAGAGTCTGGAAGAGCAAAAAGAAGAAGAAGAAGAAGAAGAAGAAGAAGAAGAAGAAGAAGAAGAAGAAGAGCGACATAGGAGAGAAGGAGGAGGACGGGGAGCTGCAGAGTCTGGAAGAGAACAAGAGGTAGAGGAACAACTGTACAAACAGGTGGCCAAGTCACAATGCCTCCATGCGCTACGAGAAGCAATCCTGCCCGACTGGGTGCATCTACTTGAGCAAGACCGAAGAGAAAGAGGGGAATCGGTGGTCAGTGCGAGCAGGAAGATCGGGTGCTGCAGGAAGAGGATATATATTATGTGGCGGTAATACGAGGTAAAGGCCGCAGTCGCCCGATCCCACTGAGGCCCTTTAAAACAGCTACGGCGGTACAGAACCTCACGTTCGACCCAAGCAGCTGGGTATGCCCGCCGTAACGAAGTCTCAAAACAGCCCGTCCCCTTTTCATCAGTCGACAACCAAGGATCTAAAAGGTACCAACCTACCGTCTTCACCGGAACAGAACGCCCGGGCATTATTGCTGTATGTAGACTCAAAATTGCACCAAATACGACTATAATGACCGCGCGTTCTATTCAGGTGAAGACGCTAGTTCCTTATGCTATTAGAGTTGAAATTAAGGGGTGTTGGGAAAAGAGGGGGTGGGTGCGGCAGGAGGGGGGAGCTTCACACATGTGGGGAACAACAGTGGCAGGATGTCTTCCGCACCATTATTATGAGACTGCCCGATCAAAGGCAGGCGGGCCTGCTATGGTTGGTGGTGCATCTGGCTATCGAACAAAAGTAGATACACCAACTCCCAGTGTGACCACACTGTGTGGAAACAAGCTGGGGGCCTCTGCCCAGAACATGTGTATGTCTGATAGGGGCCCCGTGAGGGCTCGTTCCTCGCACATAGTAGATGTTGTTATGATATGATGCTATATTTCTAGTAAATATTAAACAATAAAATCACTTCCAAAATGATCACTAAAATAATTGTTAGAACAATTAGTTAACAACAAAATAGATGGGAGAACATGGGTCATGCGTCACCTATCTATAGCTCCAACCCCACCTGAAGAGGAAGACAGCTGCAAAGATGAAGGCGGTGCTGTTGATTAAATACCCCGCCAACGCGAGTGTCGCTCTCTCTCCTATTAAATGCACAAGTGGCCGGAAGACTGAACACACACACACAAAAAATAATAATAATCATAATCATAATAACAAAAAATACAGACACGTATCAACACCCACCCATCCATCACCCACACCCCCTTTTCCTCCGCCATCCACACAGACAGACCTGAGTACATATATGACATCCACAGCTCTGCCATCTTCATAAGGTTCATGAAACATCCAGGTGGATCATGACTTATCCTTATCCACAGCAATCATCTACGTGGATGATGCTCTCAAGTTGTTTTTTTGCCTGATCACAGCTGCCATCCGTTCTGTCTATGCCTGCGCCCTTTTTTTCCCAATAATTCCTTGCGACCAAAAATAGCACCAAAACAAACAACGAAGAAAGAAGCGTAATTCGACCAAACAACAAAAACACACGCTAGGACAATTTCCATCCAATCAATTCTTCTTCTTATTATTATTCTTATTCTTATTCTTATTCTTATTCTTTCTCTTCTCCTCCTTTCTTTTCCTTCTTCTTCTTTCTCTCTTCTCCACCTCGTCCTCCTCCTTTCTTCTTCTTCTTCTCCTGCTGCTTCTGCTTCTTCTTCTGGTTGTCGTCATATGGAGGGGTCTTGTGCAGTGGAGCGAAGTGTGCGAGAATTGCCGCGTCCATGTGATTTGTCTGTGTGGTGTGGGTTGCGTTGGACACTACAGCCTTGCAGGGGTGGGGTGAATATCATGACCGGTATAATTCCACCTTTAAACACCGTGTCCTGGCTGTAGTGGATAAGATACTTGGCTCCTGAGACTGAGGTCGCAGGTTCGAAACTGTGCTTCCACGGAGGAGGACTTTGGCCCGCTGTGCGGATCTATAATCGATATTTGTCGTAATAGTCCCCATTTGTTTGCTGCCAATGAACTCTCCTCTTTTCTCTTGTCCTCCTCCTCCTCCTCCTCCTCCTCCTCCTCCTAGGAGGAGAAAGAAAGCAGATGACCAGAAGGATGAGGAGCGAGAAACTGAGGGCAGGAAGTAGGCCGCCGACAACGTCGAGGACAAGATAACGGAGAGGAGCATTGCCTGCCTGTCCCCTACTTCCTGTGTGTGCTGCACGTGTGGGTGATACGACTTCAACGAACCTTGTCTCTCCGCCCTCTTTGCTTTTGTGTAGCCGCTGCAGCGCATGCGGCTCCAAAGAGGTCGGGTATGTTTTTTACAAAGAAGGGGAAGAGAATGAAATGCCAATTTGATCTGTTTCAATTTGTCTGATTTACTCATCACGAGAGAAAAGAAGATCTTTTTTCTGCCTTTGGGCCTGCTGACGTGGCAGGTGATGGGCCGGCTGAGCAGGGGCGAGGTTCCACTAGCAAGAAGGATTGACTTGAACACCCGAATGTGGACGTGTTTGTGACAAGGTGCAGAAAATCCAGATGGAAAACTGCTTTTCTGTATCTCTCTGCATAAAACACAATCGGATTCAGGGAGCCTAATCCAATCCTCCTTGCTAGTGGGACCTCGCCCCAGATGACAAAATGAACGAGGAGTGCGGGGAAAAAAAAAGGAAGTGACCGACAAGATCAAATCGCGGAAAAAAAAAAAAAAAAAAAAAAAAAAAAAAAAAAAAAAACCCTGCAGAAAAGAGAGTCCGCGGAATCTTAAGAATTAATGATATAATAGATATATGGAATAGGGATACCAATGATTGCATCTCACCCACAGAATTGCAAGGTCATCTGCGGTATTGTCACCATCCAGTTGAGGCTCTAGAAAAAAAAAAAAAAAAAACTAGAATTAATAATTCTCCTAGAAATTCTAGAATGGATCCGCACCCTTCGAAAAGGGCCCAAATTGGAGGTCAATGAATGGGTAGCCAGCCATATGAGATCAATCAACCACACACAAATGGTAACATTCTTTATCGATTTCCTAATGGAGACATCCTCTTGTTATTTTATTTTTTTAATCTAACACACGGCGACAACACGGTAGTCCCAAATCAACAAGAAAAGATAAAAATGGGTGTGAAAGCTCATCAGATCTCATCAGATCTTCACAATTGCCTCTTGGTACTAACTAGAAAAAACACATGCCAAGCTTTCAGACCAGCTAGCTACCCCTATCTCCCAATTGCCTCTTGGTCCAGCTAGCTAACTGGATTTGGAGTTCTCCAGGGGGCCCCAGGGGGTATATAGGTGTAGATCATATGATCAAATCCTCCACAATTTTAAGGATTTGAACTCAACTTACCGACCGCATGCTTCGTTCGACAATTCATTTGAAGGACACAGTGTCGACCAAGGTGGATGAAGCACCTCAACCTCGGTAGGGAAGAGGAGGACCTTGAGAGTCTTAGACCAATCAAATGGTTCAACATTTTTATGAAATCCAACCTTAGACCAATCAAATGGTTCAGCATTATGAAATCCAGATGGGCTAAAGTCGACTCTTTGCAGTGGCAAATTGAACATCGCTGTCTCCCTACCAACAATGACAGGTTGATGGACAGGACATCGCTGGAACAAAAAAAGGAATCGCAGTGCCCTGGTGTAAATTTTGCACGACAGGCCTTTCCCAAGCAAGATGATTTCTGAAACCATTGCGCATATATTTTTGCAATGCCCTGGTGCCATTTGGCTATGGAGATGGTGGGATCGCATCTGGAGCCAACTGGGGAACCCCCCCCCCCCGCCCCCCCTGGCCGTGAGGATGGAAGGCCATCCTGATGGAAACCTGGGTATATCTAGACCTTATGATGATTTCACTCAGAACCTTTTCACTATTGGAAACCTGGGTACATCTAAACCTTATGATGATTTCACTGAGAACCTTTTCACTACTGCGGTCGAGAAGATGTACCTATGAATGGGAAGGAGCCTCGGCTAGATGGACCGGAATTCACAGACACCATTATTAAGCAACAAATTGGATGTACAGACTATCTCTGCTGGTATCCTCTTAAGTACTTCTTAAAGGATGCTGAGCCTGATTCTCAGCAAGGTTGTCAATGGGACGCTGGACCCGGTTTCCAGCAGGTGCTGCTCCCCACCAATAGCCTCCCAGAGAGTGCTAGGGGTGTCTGCTCTTATCAGCACCCCTAGCAACCTTCTCGGGCTGTTTGACTTAAAAAAAAAAAAAAAAAAAAAAAACCAACCAACAAATTCAAAAGGATATGTCAATCAAATGGGATCAAACAAAAGAGAAAATCCAACATCTATCTTTAAACCACCAGTACCTTTTTTCCCCACTTGAAATCTAAGATGGGCCAGGTAACGCGGTAGCCAAGCGGGGGAGGGAGGGCCACCGTTGATAAATCGAATCGGCGGCCCGTTTTCCGTTTTCCGCTCCGCGCCTCCAACACTGCCCGCGGCCGACATATGAGAAAGGTACTGGTGGCTTAAGGACTGAAATCCTCAAACATATTCACTACTTCAGTCGCTCCTGGCTTGGGGGAAACCAGGGGGGGGGTGGAGGAGGGGGAACTGGGAAGGGTTAAGTGGGAAGGGGCTACAAGAGGGGATAATGAGGAGGTATGTAGGGACTACAGGTCGACTTTGGGGGACTGGGTAACTGTGGACCCTTCCATACAAATGCCTTCTGTGATGGATTTCCCTGATACCTTTTCCCCCCATCTTCATTGTCTATAGTTTCCAGACCCTGGGTATGATTAAATTGTTGTTCTCATGCTGTGTTCTATAGGTGAATCTGAGCTCTATAGGTGAATCTGAGATCTATAGGTGAATCTGAGATAGGAAGAGAATAGTTAGTTTGGCGCCCACCTTTGGGTGAAGAGGAGGTTCAGATTCAACCTATGTATTCACAAGGATAGCTATTCGCATTATAAGCATTATTGTACATGTGGGATGCTGGACCCGGTTTCCAGCAGGTGCAGCTCCCCACCAATAGATGGAGTGACCCAAATGGGCCATACAGTAAGTAGTAGGGGGGTGCTCGTGTCACCCTTCCTAGTAGGGCCGGATGAGTCTTAAAAAAAAAAAAAAAAAAGGGGGCTGGCTCCACTACTCAACATTCCACAAGAATATGGACAGCTGCCTAGACCAGATACTTTTAAACTGATCAACACATTTCGAATGTATCGGACCTCTCCGATGTCCCAGATACATTTAGTATGCTATGTCGTAGACCGAGGCCCTTGGTGCGAGTGCACCGAGAGAATGTGATGAGAAGTAGTGGGGAGAGAGAACGAAATAAGAGAGAACGAAATGAGCGTTGTCTCGTTCCAATTATAAGGGATGTCTGGCCCGTTCGTGCTCACAATCGCGCACATGCCCTTCTTCCCCCGAATACAACGTACGGTCATTATAGCTGAATTTGGTGTATCTTTCAGTCTAAATACCGCTATAATGACCGTACGTTGGATTGGGGGGAAGAAGGTAATCTGCACTCTCTGTCTCGTTCCACATTCCAATCTTAACAGATGTCCCGAAGGACAATAATTTTATTTTTATACATTTTTTAATCTGGACAATTACTGTACAAATCGTGTTCCTCCAACCTTATCCGACATTTTTCCAGTATCTATTATCCGGTATTCGCTTGGATTACATATTAAAATGGCATCTTAATTCACACAAAAAAAAAAAAAAAAAAAAAAGCAGAAGAAATGCCGTCTTGATCCGATCCGGTCAACATATCCAAACCGATTAAGGGAAAAAAAAACAGCCAAACCGATAAAACCCAAGATCACTTCAAATACCCTCGCGCAGAAACATTCCATTAGATCCGATCCAATCCGAATTTCATAAAATCCACTTTATCCGATCTTATCCGATCCGATCTAAGATAATTGATTCTGTTTTTATGGTTGATTAATTGATTGGTAAACAGATGACTCCATTGACTGACAAAAAGTGGTTACATTGATTTGATTGATCAATGTTTGATTGATTGATGATTGATTGATTGATTGATTGGACTGATTGGACTAATTCAATCGATCGATCGATTCGTTGCCTGACTCCCAGAGGAGCTGAAAAGTTC